TGCACTTTTTATAGACTTTAAGATCACAAAACACCATAAAAAGATGTGTTTTCCGCTGTAACTGTGAGACTACTGTATATCGAGGCTTCATTGGTTTGGTTATGGCTTTTAATCAAATTCTGACCAGAGAGAGAGATACCAGAGAGAGAGATACCAGAGAGAGAGAGACCAGAGAGAGAGAGACCAGAGAGAGACCAGAGAGAGAGACCAGAGAGAGAGACCAGAGAGAGAGAGACCAGAGAGAGACCAGAGAGAGAGACCAGAGAGAGACCAGAGAGAGAGAGATACCAGAGAGAGACCAGAGAGAGAGAGACCAGAGAGAGAGAGACCAGAGACCAGAGAGAAAGAGACCAGAGGGAGACCAGAGACCAGCACCAGGGGGAGAGAGACCCAGAAAGAGACCAGGAAGACAGGGGAGACCCAGAGAGAGACCCCAGAGAGGAGAAGGAGAACCACCAAAGAAGAGGAAGAATAAACCAGAGAGAGAGTAGTGGACGAAAAAGGAAAAGAGAGATGAAGAAGGAAGAAAAAAGACCGAGAGAAAGAAAGGAAAGAGATAGGAAAGGTAACCAAGGAAACGCGCAGAAGAGGGGGAGAGAGAGAGAGGAGGACCAGAGAGAGAGAGAAACACCACAGGAGGCAACCCCCAGGCCGAGAAAGAGGAGACCCGAGAGAGAGAAAAAAAACAAAGAGAGAAAACAGAAGAACAGAAGAACAAAAACCCACCAAAAACCGAAGAGAGAGAAGAACCGAAACCAGAGAAAGGAACAAGAAAAACGAAAGAATAGAAAAAAGACAGGAAGAAAAAAAGAGACAGAGACCAGAGAGAGACCAGAGAGAGAGAGACCAGAGAGAGAGACCAGAGAGAGAGAGACCAGAGAGAGACCAGAGAGAGAGACCAGAGAGAGACCAGAGAGAGAGAGATACCAGAGAGAGACCAGAGAGAGAGAGACCAGAGAGAGAGAGACCAGAGAGAAAGAGACCAGAGGGAGACCAGAGAGAGACCAGAGAGAGACCAGAGAGAGGCCAGAGAGAAACCAAATTCTGTTACAAAACTAGTTTATGTTTTAACTATTTCTATCAGTTAATCAATGGCGGTCCTAGCAGTGCCTGAGAATTTGTCATAAATACATCGGTTTAGCTTCAGTTTTAAATCTGATTCAGCCTGAAGAGCCATTTTACTTGGTTCATTTAAACCAACAATCAATTTTTAAAAATATAGAAATTGGGACATAGGTTTTGTATCTCTCCATAAGCCCAGGCATAAAGCTACAGAGGGGAAAATACAATGGTTTTTAGCCCCTTTTTGTCAAGTTTTCCAGGTTATACTGAGCTGATTATACTGATAATTGGGTGTAGTGGCAGATGGCGTCCAGTAGATGGCAGTAGAAGCGAGGAACGTGGAGAGGTCAGAGGTGAGAAGTCTGAGGAGGGATCACAGCTGTCTGTCAGAAAACACCAGGCTCCTCTGCTTTGGAATCCCTGAGAACAGACCAGGAAGAGAGAGAGGCATGAGGGGCAGGACAGGGAGGAAAGTGCGGCGTGTTGTTTGGACACATGTCGGCAGGAATGGGTCAAAACCAATGGGGGCGGGTCCCGGGTAAAAAGTGTCCAAAATGACGTGCGCTGACATGCTGCAATACCACCCCGGGCCTGTGGGGGTGGACCCGGAATAAGAATTAGCCAATGCTAACATATAGCATCTTCTTACCTCTCGAAAACATCTTTATAGGATGGTGTTTTGGACCAGTCTAGTTTAGTCGCTGTGGACTTTAGAAGTCACTCGTTTAAATGAATGGAGCTCGTGCAGCTGACTCATGCACAGATGCGTTTTTTTCACATTTTCCAGCCCCCGCGGCCATTTTGAATCACTCCATGAAAGCCCAATTTTTGGCCCATTAGTTAGAACGGCGGAGATAGGCGTGACGTTCGTTAGTATATACAGTCTATGGTCAAAACAAGCTAGTGGTAGTAGCAGTAGCAGTAATACTTGTAGTTGCCGTAATAGTAGCAGTACTTTTGATCACAGTTTGTACCTGTGCTGAGCTCGTGTCCGGTCCGTCCTGTTTTCTAACGTGGCTCTGGACACTTGTACTTGAGCCACAGTTTGAGACTCGGAAAGTGAGTCTGGGGCCTCGTCACTGAAGAAGAGGAGGCTTCGTGAACGCACTGGAAACACACAACAAACTTCAATTAAAAAAATGTTCAGTTTAATCCCGGAAATTGAGTCAGAATGATGTGGTCTGAGTTATTCACAACATTGGACTGTTTGTGTTACCCTGGCTGGTGGTGTATAGTTCCGCCGCCTGCTGCTGTGATGACGACGGCTGTGATGAAGAGGAGGACGAAGACGACAGAGGAAGCAGAGAGAGCGGAGAGGCGCAGGGAGAGAAAGAGCCCAGGACCAGCACAAAGCACACCGCCACCATCTGGACACAAGAGAGAGCTCAGCCATGATTTACAAACTCAACCTCAACCACCTCTGGTCTTTCTCTCTCTGGTCTTTCTCTCTCTGGTCTCTCTCTCTCTGGTCTCTCTCGCTCTGGTCTCTCTCTCTGGTCTCTCTCTGGTCTCTCTCTGGTCTCTCTCTCTGGTCTCTCTCTCTGGTCTCTCTCTGGTCTCTCTCTCTGGTCTCTCTCTCTCTGGTCTGGTCTCTCTCTGGTCTCTCTCTCTCTGGTCTCTCTCTGGTCTCTCTCTCTGGTCTCTCTCTCTGGTCTCTCTCTCTGGTCTCTCTCTGGTCTCTCTCTCTGGTCTCTCTCTGGTCTCTCTCTCTGGTCTCTCTCTGGTCTCTCTCTCTGGTCTCTCTCTGGTCTCTCTCTCTGGTCTCTCTCTCTCTGGTCTCTCTCTCTCTGGTCTCTCTCTCTCTGGTCTCTCTCTGGTCTCTCTCTCTGGTCTCTCTCTCTCTGGTCTCTCTCTCTCTGGTCTCTCTCTCTCTGGTCTCTCTCTGGTCTCTCTCTCTGGTCTCTCTCTCTGGTCTCTCTCTCTGGTCTCTCTCTGGTCTCTCTCTCTGGTCTCTCTCTGGTCTCTCTCTCTGGTCTCTCTCTGGTCTCTCTCTCTGGTCTCTCTCTGGTCTCTCTCTCTCTCTCTCTCTCTCTCTCTCTCTCTCTCTCTCTCTCTCTCTCTCTCTCTCACCCAAAGAGTCAAATAGTGACACGCACAGAAGAACATGTTTTCTAATGCGATCATGTTTTGGTCTGTATTATTTATTAAACAAAACAGTTAAATACCCCAGTTTTAATTAATATTATTTACCATGAGGCAGGTCCCGGTCTGAGTGGAGGCCATTTTGCAGGAGCGAGGGACGACTTTCCCCGAGATCAGAGACTGGAGCTTCTGCAGCTGCTGTAGGAGAGACCTGAGGAGAGGAGACACGGGTCACTACAGTGGTCACCAGCAGGGGGCAGTGAGGAGACACGGGTCACTACAGCGGCCACCAGGAGGGGGCAGTGAGGAGACACGGGTCACTACAGCGGCCACCAGCAGGGGGCAGTGAGGAGACACAGGTCACTACAGCGGTCACCAGCAGGGGGCAGTGAGGAGACACGGGTCACTACAGCGGTCACCAGCAGGGGCAGTGAGGAGACACAGGTCACTACAGCGGTCACCAGGAGGGGGCAGTGAGGAGACACAGGTCACTACAGCGGTCACCAGGAGGGGGCAGTGAGGAGACACAGGTCACTACAGCGGTCACCAGCAGGGGGCAGTGAGGAGACACAGGTCACTACAGCGGCCACCAGGAGGGGGCAGTGAGGAGACACGGGTCACTACAGCGGCCACCAGGAGGGGGCAGTGAGGAGACACGGGTCACTACAGCGGCCACCAGGAGGGGGCAGTGAGGAGACACAGGTCACTACAGCGGTCACCAGCAGGGGGCAGTGAGGAGACACGGGTCACTACAGCGGCCACCAGGAGGGGGCAGTGAGGAGACACAGGTCACTACAGCGGTCACCACCAGGGGGCAGTGAGGAGACACGGGTCACTACAGCAGCACACATTAGATATGATGATAACAATATTTACTTGTTTCAAACCGGCACAATATATTCTCATAAACATAAACAGACAGAACAAGCAAACACTGATAATCCTGACGCTCGCACATGTTCAACACAAGACGACACACATTCAGAACACTGCGGCTCCAGTCCTGGTCTCAGGTCTCTGGGCACAGGAAGCCAGTGCAGAGAGTAGACTGTAAAGCTGCTCTGTTTGGCACAGGGACTGGTCTCCTGCTGGGACTCTGAGGAGCACAGGGACTGGCCTCCTGCTGGGACTCTGAGGAGCACAGGGACTGGCCTCCTGCTGGGACTCTGAGGAGCACAGGGACTGGCCTCCTGCTGGGACTCTGAGGAGCACAGGGACTGGCCTCCTGCTGGGACTCTGAGGATGTGAGACAGGCTTCTTCTCTGACAATGTTCAAATTCAGGTTAAAGCAGTTCTGTTTAGCAGCAACAACTAAATGAATTGAATGTAGATTGAGTTAGGTTTGGGAACCACTGCAGTTATACAATATTCAATGTGACTGGATTCAGAAGTCTAGTTGTTACTCCATATTGGCACTTTAATTTAAACGTTTTATATGTTATTGTGGATTGGACATAGAAGTAGAAAAATTACAATGGCAAACATCTCCTTTTGTGGGTCCAGGATCAGGTCACTGTCCTGGCCTTAAAACAATACGAAAACAACACATGGAAACGAGTTTGGCTTGAATTGTGCTGAATCCGAGTGATTAAAAACAGTCCTAGTTCTTTGCTTTGAGAAGGCAGAACTCAACACCAGATTGGAGCCATTTCTCTTGTTTATATCACTACAATTATTACCTGTAAATGTCATGCATGAGACCGAATGCACCGTGCAGCAGGTCTGGGGAGCAGGGTGCTACTGGTACAAGCTCAGAGCCACTGCAATACCCTGTCTTTGCCTCTAGGGGGAGACACAGCGCTACTATTGTGCGTCTAAACCATTGTGACCAGTTCAGACCACAGCTCCGCCAGTTCAGGGCAGGAGCCGCACTTCTCAGGGTGTATCTATAATTTACATAATTTATAGCTTCTTTTAGATAAACGCTTCGTCTGGGGTCAAGCGCTCACATATGGAGCAGTAGATTTATGCCTTCTGGATAAAGTTTCAAAATAGGCAGATAAAAAAATATTTGACAGGAAGTTAAAGGTGTGATATATAGTTGTGGAAATTCAAGGTCTGGTTTGATACGACGAGTTTAGGCTTTTATAAAACATTGTATAAACCTGGTGTGAAGTAGAAGATCGAGTATGAATCTACCGCATTATAGAGAATATGAATGTTGCCGTTTTGACCTAGAATCTCCCACAATATAACATTAAATCAGTGGTTTGTCTTTAGTTAAATACATTTTAAAGCTTGGGTAAGTTGCTTTTTTGTTTAATAAATATTCCATGTAGTTTGTCCTGCCAGTAAGAAAGAGCCCTGTCAGTCACTATTCGACTCTTTGGGCTGAGAGCTGATTGAGGGTGGTCTTTTCATTATCACTTTTCTGAAAACGCTGATTTAAAGCTGTGACCTTATGAAGACTCTCCCGCGGGATTTCCATCTGGGAGGTTGACTGCTCCAGCCCATCCCTTCCCGGCCTGCCTCACATCCTCGGCCTGTCGCGCAGCAAATGCCCATTTCCAACCAATCCAATGCCGGCCGGGCCAGCAGCTTAAAAGCGGGGAACTCACTCTTTATGGCCTTCTCCTTTAAAACAAGTGATAGAAGCAAACTGCTTTGAGAGCAAGGAACAATTTAGTGTTTTCTGGTTCAACAGTTCTATTTCATATGTTGCTTCAGCCCTTTAGGCTTCGCTATTGCATATCTCTCGGAAGCACCGTATTCATAGAACCAGCTTTACAAATATATAATCGACCATTTACACGACATACAAACTCAAAACTAGGGTATAGGATTTTCAAACCACAAAAAAGCTAATTATGTCATAAAATCCATCTAGTGCAGGCGTCTCCAGCCGTTTTCACCCAGAGAGCTACTTTCCCGGGACAATAAAGGCAGAGAGCTACTCCGTAAAGCGGCCCTGGGAAAAATTGGTGCGAACGAGCCTGATGTGTGGAACAGCCATTATTTATCAGCACATACTTGTTACTATTGAAAAAGTGTGTGCATTTACAATAATTAATAATGATCATGAATGATACAATCTGAAATATTAAGTATATTTTTGTCTTTTATTCATTTCTAAATCCTTTGGCGAGCTACCTGGAAGGGGATGGCGAGCTACCGGTGGCTCCCGAGCTACAGGTTAGAGACCCCTGATCTAGTGCATCCAAGCTAGTTCTTCACTAGTTTTCACACGCATGTACTTTTGGCCTATGTCACATCTTTAGATAAGCTTTCTCAGACAGAAAACTGCATAGGTTTCCTCCAGGTGCTCCAGTTTCCAATACCACTTCAAACTTTGTACAATAGGTATATCCTCCAGCTGCAGTAGTCCTGAGTCTGGAGATAGGTTCCCGGGCGCTGTACTCGGCTCTTTCTTACAAGAACGAAAAAGACTACTGTATAAACAACTCTATAACACAATCATGGAAGTCCCCAGAGTGTCACTATTTGACTCTTTGGGCAGAGAGCTGATTGGTTGAGAAAGGGTGGTCCTCTCTTTTTCACTTTTCTGTCTGGAAAAGCTGATCTAAAGCTCTGACAGAGACCATAAATACATGAAAAGTAGCGATAGAAGCAAACTCACAACGAGGAACTAGCAACACGGATTCTATCACATGATATAAAAAGTTAGGGACCCTAGCTTTAATGCAAATGAAGTAAACACATCTGACTGGTCGACTTTATCTCTAGTGGATGTCACACACACACACGTTTAGCTTGAATTCTCCTCGGTATAAACTGTTAGTGTTTATTCTGCTTTCAATATCAACCATTCTTTCAAATTGTATAACATTTCCGAAGCCTAAATTTCTGCAATCGTCAAATAAAAACCTCTCGTCCACCACCACTTTCAAACTTAGACTCAAAACAAGATTCCCTAAACCCAGATTGTAGAATATTTGTCAGATGTGGGAGTTTTCCGCTGACTGGGGCTGCTCCATTGTTCTGTTGTGGTGTGGTTTATGGGGAGGGGGTTCACAAACGCTACTGTTCACTCACAATTCTGTAATTACAAGCCGTAAAAGTTCCCCCACCCAGAGTTCTAATCACAGGCTGCAGCGACTGACGCAGGACGAGCCACAACTGCGGACTCAAACCAGGACACTATCTGGGGCTAGGAGGAGGAGTAGTAGTAGTAGTAGTTGTAGTAGTTGTAGCAGTAGTAGATGTAGTAGTAGTAGTAGTAGTAGTAGTAGTAGTAGTAGTAGTAGTAGTAGTTGTAGTAGTTGTAGATGTAGTAGTAGTAGTAGATGTAGTAGCAGCAGTAGCAGTAGCAGTAGTAGTAGCAGCAGTAGCAGTAGTAGTAGCAGTAGTAGTAGCAGTAGCAGTAGCAGCAGTAGTAGTAGTAGTAGCAGTAGCAGT